AGAAAACATTAAAATAAAATTTTACTCGATGCCCTTTTATAGTACACTCGCAGATTCTGAGCATTACCGAATTCATACATGCAGGACATACTGAATTATGAATTATTATAGGGTTAAGGATTACTATAAGGCTCTGATTTATTATGGGATTATTGATAAATAATCTACTAAAATATATAGTTAAGACTATTTAAATGCAAAATGTTCATTCGTCTCACGGTTTAGATCAAAAATATAAGTGAATAGATCTATGTTAAATGATAATTGACCTTCTGAATTTCACAGCATGAAAAGTTGTAGTCAAAGTAACACCCGATTAAACTTGATTTGTATATATTCTCACTCCTTTACTTTTCCCAGTGAATATATGATTGCAAGGCTTTTGTATTTCATAATTTTACGGAATTTTTATGAATTTTTTCTTTAAATATATGCCAGAATTAAATTTGTTTCTTTGATTTATAAAATTTGAGTGTCATTGCTCCAAGAAAAAGGCAAATTACTAACCCCGTACTTGTATTTTGATACTCAAAAAATGAGCTGCCAGATGATATGTGATTACTATTATGCTGAACTAAATGTGATGTAGTCTCAAGCACTTCAATATTTTTTAATTTTGTCTCTGAAAACAACATTTCCGAATCAATGCTTCTTTTAGAATTTGAAGTGTTCTCTGTCTCTACGGTTACTTCGCCGATATCACACCATCCATTAACAGGAATGCAGTTAATATATTTGCACCAAGAACAATTATTGTCTATCGGGTTTTCTCCACTATTGAAAAAGTTCTTTACTAGCATGGCTATGTAAACTATAGCCAACACTAAGCATATAACTCTTATGCCACACCAAATATAAAATCTTGATGGTATTTTGTCTTCCCAATTGTACATCGGGTTCCAATTATTCCTAAATTGTTGCATTGTACCGTCTCGGGCATGATAGGTAATTATTCCATCGATATATATAAAAAATGGGTCAGGCAATAAAATAATAGCCGTAAGAATACCCATCGCAAACCCTCCTATATGACTAAAGTTGTCCATTCCTGGTAAAAGTCCTAACACTAATGATATGATAATTTCCATAATCATAATAAATATGAACAAACCGTATTTTTTTGTCCCGTATATATTAGTATTTTTCTTCCCACAGTAAACAAACATCATTATATTAGTAGCCACTACACCAAAGAGGGCACCAGAAGCACCTGTTGACGCGATTCCGTTCGGTGAAAAGTTAGCCCCTAAAAGAAAGCCGGATATACCACTCATCAAATATATGATGGAATATTTTATAATGCCTATACTTCGTTCAATTGATGCACCCATAGTAACTTGAAGTAATAAATTAAATATTATATGCAAAAATCCAGCATGTAGAAATATCGGTGTTATAATTCTGTACCACTGGTGAGGTTTGTAGACATCATCTTTTACCGGCACACCGCTTAATCCACATAACTCATTCAATGAACAAACATTAGTATCTGTGGTAGTCGAATTTGGACATGGGAAATTTATAGTTGTATCATTGGTTATTCCTTTAATAGATTGCATGCATGGAGCGTAACGGGCACCCATGTTGATCATCAAGTACGTAGAAGGCCCTAACATCGGATTGAAATATGGTTTTGTTTGAAATGCAGAGCCAGTCAAACTTGACATCTTAGCTAATTCTGCAATAAATACACTCACTTGAATTAGTGTCACTAGGATAGTAAAATATGGTAACTTTGTATAATGAAATCTCGGCTTTCTTCTTAACTGCTTCAATCTAGCTTTCTCATTTTTTCTCATCTTCTCATATTCATCATCTACTGGTATGGGAGGTTGCTCCCTATGTGGTTCAAATGGATTGTACTCTTGTTGTGGAAACTCCGGCACTGACTGATCTCTAAATGGATTCTCTTTCTGTTTTTGACCATAGCCATTATATGGATGGTTTCCCTGTAGCGGGTTAAACGGATTCTCGGCTGAGCTATTATTAATGCTGTATGTTGATTGTAGTCTGTCTAGTTCATATTCGTGCGTATTTGCGTTCGAACTATCTGAATTTTTTGAAATGCCTGAATACCCCTTAGAAGTTGGGTATGGTGCTAGATTAGAGTTATCATTACCAAATATAATTGAACGGTCATCATCATCTGTAACGTAGCTACCATTTGGCCTTAGATTATCTTTAGGCTGTGGCGGATTTGCATTCGATAGAAATTGGTTTCTCAAGTCTTCTGATCCCATGCGATCATGAAAATGATTTGTATTAAACATTTTTGCTCTATACAATAACTGACTCCAACTCTAGTTGCCAAACTTGTCTAGTCGGAGTGCAACGATTCAAGATCAAAAAAATTACCGTAAATATTGATTATAGACAGATTTAATATCGCGTACCTCCTTGAGACAAGGCTATGACGCTATATACAAACTCATTTGTGTTCAATACAATACAGTATTTCACAATGTTTTACGATCTTACCCTGCTCTAGATTTATGTATAGAAACTTAACGATAATTAGTATATTATATATCTTTATATACCCTATGTTACAATTATTCCTTAAATAAACTATCGTTAGCTAAAGGATCTTTCTTCAATACTTGATCTCTTCTCTTCAACTTCTTTTCCAAAGCAGCAGAAGCCCTGGACTTGGCTTGTTCAGCAGCTTGTTGTTTCAATTGAGCTCTAACAAAGTTAGGAGAAACGTATTCCTTGTTTTCGTAGATCTTTGGGCCACCAAATGAACCTTCTAAAATGGTAATTAAAGTTAAGACGAATCTAGGACCAATTTCGACCAAGGATAATTCTTCAGGGTTTAATTCATCAGCATCTTTAGAGTCGACAGTTTCATTAATCTGGTAGTTACGAATCCAAATCTTGTTATCAACTATAGAGAAAGTCATAACGTGGTCAATGAAAGGCTTTGATTTTCTGGCATTAGGAGGAACCCCAAAAGTATGCGTGAATAATTCTTTTAATAATTTGTGGTGATCCGTGGATTCGAATGACTTGTCGAAACTCAATATTGGCCTGGAACCTTTCAAACAATTACCGGTGAAGTTTAATTCATCCAAGGTGTGCAAGTTTTGAATGTGAAATTTTAAAGTAGGACCATTAGGTGGCTTCGAAATCCATAAGTATAAATCTTGATGCTTTCTGGATTCGAAAAAAAAGATATTATTACAATTGTACAACTCAGCAACCTCGTTCAACTGATACAAGTTTTTCTTGGAATCGAATTTAGGCTCTTTTCTAGCGTGTGGTAAAAGTGCAACCAAATCGCTAATCAAATGACGATGTCTGTAAGTAACACCACGGGATGATATCACTAATAATCTTTGTCTATTTATATGCTTGGCTTTTTCAGACGTCTCTTTGGACGATTTGGACTGTAATGCTTTGTAAATAGCTGACATTCTATATGGAGCTATGGGAGATAAGTAGTAATGGGAATTTTCAGGTATCTCTGCTCATCGGTATTTTTTTTTACTATGTATCAAAAAAAATGTTACACAAATCTCAAAATTTCGTATACCATTAATTTTACCCGGACTACCTGTCCTTCTATTATGGCTAGTGAACTAGATAAAGCTGATATACGTCTATCATCTACAGATATAGGTACTTCTTTGCTAGCTTGATCTGCTAGATTAAAGATATATCTATGTGACAGGTTAGGGGAATCATGCATCTTGGTTCCACACAACCTTTTTGAACTACGATTCATTATCAACTGAACTTTTATTCTTATTCTTGGAAGTAAATAAATAATCTATACCTTTTGTACACAGACGGAAAGCAAATACTGATAAAAATACTTCAGTAGAATGTAAAATTCTCTTTTCGTATAGCCAACCCAACCATCATGTACAAAAAGCTAACGTCAAAAAGAAACAACTATATGAAAACATCGAAATAAAGCAAAAAAATGTATCTTCTAGAATCTACCATCTAATGTTTTTCTTCGGCTGAGTGCTTGGCTAACCATTCTTGAACGAATTTTTCTTCTTCCTTGGAGGAGGCATTAATTTGAGGATGTTTTGGTGCAGCTGTACCCCATGGCTTTGGTGCAGCAACCAAAATGACAGATCCTAAAGTAGCTAAAGCTAATTGATGAGATGGAACGGATTTACCGAGAATAGTATAAGCACCCATTTTATGTTATTTAACGAATTATTTGAATGTAATCGCTAGTAGTTGAATATAGAGATAGTTGATCGCCGGTTATTCTCAAATGAAAAACTTCAATTGGTTGACACACATTGGTATCCTGAGATTTTGTGTAATTCGTACATTTTCGGAAAGGTTCGGGTGTGTGGATGTTATATTCTAGGTGTATGGATTTATTTAGGTTTTGGTGTAAGGATGGGTTATCACGCCTCCCTAATTTTGGGGGTACCAGTTCTCCCTCTCAAAGCAGAGTGTACATTCGTCTTGCATTTGCGCTGCGTCATGCATTTGTGATATGCGTCCTAAATCATATTTTTTATTTGGTGGGGGGATATTTGTGGCTTCTTTTGGTTGCAAGTTCGAAACTACGAAACCATTGGTTCTGCCTCAAGCTTTGAGTATAATGGTGATATTCTTCCAGTTATGGTAATAAAAGGATGAGCCTACAAGGAGCTATCTATGGTATTGAATGTACAAACATACGCCAAAGCCTTCAGGACCTGCGAGAACCAGTCTGTGAGCAATACAACGATCCGTTTAACAAAAATTCTCAATTTCGACTAAATGAACCAGAAATTGATTTTTCTACATCTGCATCCTTAACATACGATAAACCACAACCTCGAAATAACTTACATAAATTATATAGAAGATTAAAATTTTTCAGTCAAAGAGATAAAAATAAACCTGCCAAGGACAGAAGTAATCAGATATTCCCTCAAAAGACATTTCGTATTAAAGAAGATACAGCGGAAGAAATAGCGAAAACACGATGGCATGTTTGGAATACATTTACAAGAAGAATTCGGAAGACTTCATCTTTTTTGAGTCCACCGCCTGCCCCATTTGGCTACAACTATTCATTGAGTGATTCCCCACATTCGTCAGCCGGAATTTGTCCTGTCAATCTAGATCAAATGTTCCACTCACTAGACCCCAGAGTTGATTATAAAAGCCCGACCACCAGTGCGAGCTTCTCATCTCAACACCCTTAATGTACCGGCCGGTTGCTTTTTTAGGTATTTGCCGTTCTCAACGCTCGGCTCTTATTTTTTTCGCTGACCTCTGCAGTCGAATAGGGGCTGCAACTAATTTAGATAACAGTAGCTAATACCTACTGTATAGTAGTTGCCAGTGCTTCATATCAGGCATGCACATTTTACAAATTTACCTCCACCTTGCGCAACGTCTCATCGCTAACTAGTCAATATTACCCTTTACCACTTTGTTCTTCCGGACTTTTCTGTTCGGACTAATACTTCCTGGAAATGATACGGTTAAGGCAACCCGATAACAACAAAAAAGTATTTATGCGGGAGCGCCACTGGCTTAGATACATGCATTATTTGCATTAGACATCTTGTATATTTTATTAGACAACAAGACCCCAATTTAAGCGCAGCCTTTGTTCGTAGTAAACGGTGCTTACGTTCGGCGTAACAATGCAGAACGGCTTTGTGTACAAATGATTCCCAAGTACAAAAAAAAAGAAATTTGAGGTTCCGATTACATAATCATCCACAACAGCAAAGAATTAGACAGATTAAATTCCTACTATCTAAAGAGAAGTTGATTCTGGTTATTAAAGATCTCTAGGATCTAGCATATAGGCAAAATTAGATACTAGAGCCATTATATTACAACGAAATCTAAAAAGACGACTTCAATTTGAATAAGGTACATATTGATACACAACAAAATACATTATTAAGTTGAATTAAGAGCATAGTATATATAACCGCCATAGTTGTGAGTGAAAGACAAAGAAAAGAAACATAAAACTTCCACCATGGATGGTATAGCAGTAATTACTGACAATTTGCTGTACGAATATGTTAGATCGCTATGTAGAAGGTTGCAATCACTACTTCCGAATAGGACAGGATACACTATAGCAGAAGTGGAGTTGAACCCACAGTTTGTCATAACCCAGAATTTGCTAGACAGGGCCAACCCAAGCTCGTCACTGGAAGGTAACAACAAGACAATATTTGTATCAAATATATTTGATTGTTTTTGTGGGATGCTTAACAATATCAATAAGGAATCTAACCTGATGAAATTACGAGATAGGGATGAAAAATCGTTATCATCAACACTCATCATATTGAAACTTTTGGCTGATATTATAGAGCGTAATTGGCGACTGAAGAAAGCTATAAATGATTTGAAGAATGAAATCTTTTCGTCCAATTGTGAACTAGCCTCAAACTATGCGATATTCTATCATTATACGCCACCACCTCCATTAAATCCATTGATAATACATCCAACTATAGATACATTATTGTCTTTACTTTCTCCACTGGTAGTGCGTAAAGTTTTGACTCTTCTAAGATCGAACCAGGCTGAAGGAATGGATTTGAATCATTTTTATAGAAATCTCAATAGTAATCATTCCCACCATTACAATTATGCTGCAGAAAGTACAAACTCAAATGTTGGGACACAAAGTGGTGATAATGATTCCATAGGCAGCGGCAATACGGTGCCTTCCACGGGCGGTCGCGAATTCATCACCAACTATGTTAATGATATCGACAACTACATAGAGATTGCTCTCAAATTTATCGCAGCATCAAATCCTGAGGAATATTTCGATTACATCGATGCAAAGCTTTTTAAATATTCCAGGGTAGGCGAACTAGTTCCCTTACCAGCTTTGCAAAAATATTCGCCTTTAATGAAACATATATTTTATCAAGCATCAGTTGGCGAAAAGACTGCAAGAGAGGTTTACAAAGTTTTGCCATACATAAAATCACATTATTGGAAACTAGCTTTCATGGTATTTTTTGCGACAAGTATAAAAGATCAATGTTTTTCAAGACCTGAAGATTACCAAGAATTGGTCACACCTGGTTGCGAAATAGAGCTTGGAGTAAGAGTCTTATTCGATTACATTCATACTGTCATAGAGGAATCACCATATTCAGGGTGTAGTTCGATAGTTCAGAGTTGGTTAGGCGTTCTTTGCGTAAGTGATTTTGTTGAATTAGAAAATAAACCAAACAAATTGAGAATTGCATTTAACAAAAGGTTGAAGTTTTTGAATACTATATTAAAGGATGCGTCGTCATTGGCGAATTTGGATTCTTTTGATTCATTAATCAACATTTTTCATTTAGGGGCTGCTTTGACTAACACAAGCGACTTCACCAGTGAGCACTCTGTGTACAAATTTTCTGTGGTTCATTTGGATGAAACTCATGAAAACTTGAATAGATTAATAAACAAATCTAAGAATAGTGATTTGAAACAATTGCAGGATAACCTATTGATAAATTTTTATATTGCAGCATTAATGATCAAGCCAAAGAAATATATGAATATCTTGGTTGCCAAGTTTAACGAATCGATGTCAGATATGAGGCAAGTAAGAATTTTAATTAAAACTATTAAAGGTATATCCGAGTTTGAGAGAACAACAGATATTTTTAGACAATTAATCACAAAATTGTCAGGATTTTTAAAATCCATGATATTCCAGCTTACTAGGTTCTTGACTCTTCATGGCCATTTCGATGAGTTTTCTACTGGAGCCCGCTTGGATGATAGCGTAAGCGTTGTTCAAAGTAACGAAGAACAGGTAAGCACAGGAGGGACTTCTGATGAAGATGCTCTCATTTACAAACCTAATATTGACTCAAATCATTCTTCAATATCAAATCTTGACCGTTATATTACGCAGTTATCTCCGTCTTCAACCATGAAAGAATCAGTGAACTCAATTGACAATATTATATCTAACATGAGTATGGATGCATCGACATATATGCAGCCATCTTTCGAATGTTTTACAGATTCTCAATTGATGTTCAATGCAGAAAGAATGTTATCAGATTTATTTGGTATATTTATTGGTGCCCCAGAGCTTTATTTTAATGATTCTGAATTAATGAATGACGAACAATTGCTTAATACAGACAAAGAGGAAATTCGTAAAAGAATTCGTAAGTTTGCTTACGAAGTTACTATTCCTTTGCAACTCGCATTTCAAACCAAGAGTTCCCTTGAAAGCTCAATACTATTTAATTCAGCGTGCGCATTAACTATGACGTTGTTCGATAGGGAGAATAAAATTTCAAAGAATTATACAACGATTTCAGCCTATGGTAACTATTTAATTTGCATTAACATTATTCAATCTATTTGTGAAGCGTGTTTGCATTTATCACTTACCGATGCAAAGTTCAAATCATGTTTTTTATTTTTGAATAAGTTTATGCAGGCAAGAGACGGCTACTCTGAAATTGTAAATGAAAATGAATTGATAAATGATGGTTCTACTCACCAGGGTTGTACAGACGTATTTCATTCTTTCGAGAAGATACTACTTTTATCCTTATGTACGCATGACATTCAATTTTACAATATTGCCAAAGATTCCATGCAGTGGTATTGCAAGGAAATTAACTCCGTTCTTCATTCAAACGAACGTTGTTGTCCAGAAAACTTGAGCGAAACATTCGAAAAGGTAATTAATGATGATTCGGTTTTCACTGGTTTTGTTTCGTTGCATAAGAGATTCAGAAATATTTTGAGAGAATCGAAGCCAACCAAATCACTCTATGAGATTTGGTTGATAATTTATAGAAGATGGTTAGAAAAATTAGAAAGTAAGAGTACTGTCAATGATCAAAATTTAGTGTTCCGTCATTTTACTGGGTTTTTGGTTTCTACATCTGGATGCTTCTTGCAAAAGGAATTTTCAATTGACGATCCAGAACAAAAGCTAAAACTGCAGGAGTATATTTCTGAATTTTTTGATAAATGTACCAATTTGCTTACGTCGAATGACCTAGTAATTAGAGTTATTATCAAGGATGCGTTGTCCATGGAGTCTCACTCGGCTGTTTTTCATTTAATATGCATCAAGCTTATGAGCATTGCAGGCTCCTATTCTGACAAGAAAATTGCTAACGAGGAAAGTATTTTATTTATGGAGCAAGTTCTTGCAATTTTGGCAACTATGATTGGACTAAAGAATGATGGAGCTTTTGTATTGGCATCATTGCTTCCGGAAGTTTGTGGATTCATAATTGATTTTATTAACTTAGTTAAAAATGTGGCTGATAATTTGAGATTAAAACTAAGGTTTTGTAAACTAGGATCTGCCCTTGAAAGTGATAAGACGTGTGTTGGTCTTCGAGGTGCATTTAAGTTAAGGAACTTTTTTGCCAAAGCATCAGCTGAATGGCTTGAGCTGGCTATTTTTTTCGATGAAAACACCAGTGAAGATTCTCCTCACACTCAATCCTTTTCCTTGGATAGTCTGATAAATTCCAATAAAGACTCCGAGAATGCATACTTGAATATTGATTTAGCTACCGAGTGCTCAAAATGTCTATCTTTACAGTTAGAAGAATTACTCCTTGAAATTCCAGATGGTACGAAGGATAAAGATATCCGTAAAAACAAGGATTTAGCGTTTGCAAATTATTTATCTTTATTCTACAGGATCCTACAAAAATACACTTCATCAGAGTTAACTTCAAAGCTTACTAAATCAAAGTATAAAGTTAATTTGATTACAGATAATGTATTGAAAAGTATTTCTAATATCCTACAATATGATACTGATATCGGTATGCAATTCGTGTTACCATTGGGATATCATGATAATCCGAAGATAAGGGCAATATTTTTAAATGTTTTCGCAAATATGTTGGCGGCTAGGAAACTAAGTAAATCAAAGGAGGAATTCCCTGATAAACTTTTAAATGAATTGTCTGAACTATATGAGATATGCAGTATAACTGCTGAAGTGGCACCTCTAAACGAGCATAATTTATTAGCCTCATCATTATTCCAATTCTTTGGCTATACCAAAAAGTTAGACAAGCTTTTTAAAACACTCTTAAATGATGAAATAGATCATGTGTCAAGATCTAGTGATATATTTAGAAGGAATAGTACTTTGACGAAGCTATTATCCAATTTTGCAAAAGATTACGGATTAGATTATTTATCAGAAACTTTACGCCCATTCATACTAGAATTGGATTCTAAGAGGGTTATATTTGAGGTCGAGAAATCTGAACTGGGACCAGAAGATGCAGAATTATTCATGAAATATTTAAGAAAATTGGTGGACGTAATTCTCAGTTCAATTGACTTGATTCCTATATCTTTCAAGTACATTTGCGCTGAAATTTATTGCTGTGTCCAAGAGAAATTTGAAAATGCTGCATTGATTGCAGTGGGTTCTTTCATATTTTTGAGGTTTTTCTGTCCGGCAATTATTAGTCCTGAAGCATTTTTCGACATTTCAGTAGAAGATGTGAAAGTTAAAAGAACATTAATGCAGTTAGTTAAGGTGATTCAAAATATGGCAAATGGTTCCTTAGGTTTGATCAAGTGGCCAAGTTTGCAAAGTTATATGGATGAATTGAATACCATAAACCAAAGAATTTTTGACTTTTTAAAAGACATTATAACTGGTTCCCAAGGTACCTATCCATTCCAAGAAATTACTGATAAACCCATTCCTGAATTAAGATATTTGCACAGATTTTTTTACACTTACTTTGTGAAGATTAAGCATCATTATATTTTATCAGATCCGCTAACAAACAATCAAAACTTACACCAGAAAGTAGAATCATACAGGCAATTCGATAAATTAGTTAAGGAGTTGGGCCAGCCTAAAGCATTAATCTCATTGGCAGTATCTTCGCCATACAAAAGCTTTGATACAAATAACAACACTAGTAGTAATCAGTATAACGAATTCATGGCAAAAATGTCGGCTAACTACATTGAGTCGACTGTTGATTGCCCTGTTGTTCATAATTCGATTTTTCATGATGGAACGCCCGTTGTGGTTTTGAATTTTGGCTACTTGAAACAAATGAATAATGATATTTATTTATTTACTTACAGGCTATTTGAATTAGTTAGCCAGGTTTGGGATAACAAATACTACTTGGTTATTGATTTTACATCGTCCCTTCTTGATACGCAGTCACTTTCACTATACGTGTCGCTATTGAACACTTACGCTCCAATCCAATTTTTTAAGAATTGCAGTCGTATTTATTATTTCAATATTCCACAGGTTGAGAGTAGCTGCATCTTGGAGACTATGAGAGCTTTAAGACTCAAGGAGCATAGGTCAAACGCTAGGCTTTACACTTATTCTCAGGCAGATAGCCCAAGAATTGTTAATAGTTTATGTTTAAATGAAGAAACACTTTCTATTTCAAGAGATAACAAAGTGATTTTTAGCGAGGTCTTGTTTTACGATAAGAATGTTGAACAGTTTGTACCTGTTACACTTAGAATTGGAAGACGATGGTTGCAAGTTTATTTCAATGAATATTTTTCATTTAGCGGACCATCCTGTTCAACCGAGGGTTTTATACCAATTGAAGTGTATAAGCTTTCTGACATTACTCGATGTGAAGTTACAAAGTCTTCTAACGGCCCAACTGATGAGTTTATAATATCTTTCAACTTTGGTACTACAATAATCCTAAGGTCGCAAGAAAAGCTGGAGATTTTGAAGTCATTGTATTTCACTACATCAAGAATACCCAAGCAATTACTTTCAGAAGACAGAGATGGCACCAGCCATGAAGCAATACCATTTCACTGGTTTAGCAGATTGTATAACATCACCTTCCAAGGCTTATTAAGTTATGACGAAGAAGTTAAATCTGCGGCTGCAATGTTATTTGCATCCTTAGCTACCTATTTTGAAATAGATTTGGCAATTCCAAATGCTTATTCTACAAATATAGCTTTTCCGTCAAATATTACTGATTTCATCGTTTCTACTTCACAATATCTTTCCAAGAGAATGCCTACAGTGTCTCATAGGTTTTTTAAAGCGTTCTTTGATCATTATGAAAAGTTACCAAATGAAAATCGACTAAACGCTATTTTATATATATCACCGTGGATTGATAATGTGTGTGATTATATTTATTTAGAGAACGATATAAGTGGACCAGATAGAGTTGCGGATATTATTAGACAATTTTGCAGGATTTCGTGTTTAAATAAAGAGCAAAGTGCGTATTTGAATGATTACATTTGGAAGAAATTATTTAATGAAAGCAGGCTTACGCCGATATTAGTAGATGAAGTTGTTGCTTACATTATTGACAATAAGAATGAGGGACCTGATTGGTACTTCATAATCTCATTCATATCACCTTCTGTGGAAGTATGTAATGAAGTCATTTACAGATTGATTTTATGCGTGAGCAAGGCTAGCATTACTGATTCAGCAATTGCTTCTCAGAGTAAATTATTTGAAATTAAAGTATTAATAAAGATTTGTGCATCTTTGTTTTTTAATTCTTATGCATTGGGTCAGTTGTTTTTAGCTGATGTGTTCTTTTTCTGTACACTTTTTATTGATAACCCTGCATTAGATTTTGGTGCTGATTTGCAAAAATTATTCATCAACACAATACAGTCATTTTTTCAAAAACCTGGTTTAACTGAGAAGCAACACACCACAGTTGATGAGACACTTTCTTATTTTAGTGGCCAACGGGCAAGAATGCTATTTGGCTTAACAAGAGACAAGAATATTTCTAGGTCGGATCTAAGTCAGTCATATAATAGAACAACAAATTTTGAAGTTTTGTGCCAGTATTTAAAAGATTTTATAATAGAATTAGGATCATCTGATGAAAGGTCGAATTGGAAGTCACGCTGGTGCTCTTATGCCATAGATGTCGCTTTTAGCACAACTTCTATATTTCAAATTAGGGCTATCCTTGTGGTGGGGATTCTTTCCCAAAACGGAATTAATGATTCCACGGTTTCAAGAATTTTTAAGTTGGTTTGCCAACAGCCAATTTCTTCCTTGGATCATTTAAATAGCCTTACCATCAGTTGTGCTCGAATTTGTGAAGGATTATCTTCAGATTCAGTGTTTCCACAGGTCATGGTTTGGCCTCATCTTTGCTATTCACTTCTTAGTTATTCTGCGTTGTATCAGTCTTCCATTCAATGCATTTTGAACTCTATGAGTAAGGCTGTTCTTCAAGGAAATTACTTAGACATAATTTTTGAACAGAGGATTTACTTGGAGCCGTTTATCACTGAATTTGAGCATATGCATGATATCCAAATTGATAAATCTAATTTTGAATTCTATACCCTTTTCACTTTTTCACATGGTTTGAGACTTCCTCATATAAGACACACATCTTTAAGTTGCATGAAAAAATATTTTAAGTTAAGATATAGTATTAGGTCTGATGACGAAATGGAAGAACTTTCACCTTTGAATATTTGTTTACCTTATTTGTTGATTATCTTCTTAAGCTCTTCGGATTCAGCATTTGATACATATTTGAATGAAGTTAACTTTAAAACAGAGAAATTTGCATATATTGGAAATGAAAGGGTTCCAAAGGTTATAATAGACTTTATGTTGAGCGGCTCAAAAAGCGCTGAGGTTACGTTGATTTATTTGGCCCATATGTTTGCAAATGAAGCTGTTGATACTGTATTCAAGCGAAAGTTTTTAAATTTATATTACTATTTAATCAAGACTTACAAACCTTTAGGTTTCTTGATTTATCATATAATAAAACCGGAGTTGGAGCATATTTTGATAAATTCCAATTCGACAGAGACTGTGAATACGATATCGGAGATACTGCTTCTTGCAATATCTGATGGAACTTATAGCATTGAGCGTTACCAACATAATGTGAATAAAATATTGGAATCAAATCACATTACAATGATAAGAGATCATATCCTTATTAAACAGATGGACGATCTTCAAACTAACGATGGATTGAAATTGGACTTGGATAGAGATGTTAAAATTCTACAAGAAATGATGTACAGAAGTTCGTGTATCTATATCGAGGGCCAAAAATTGGAAGATTGATTCTTTATGTTTTTTATAGGCCTTTCTCAATCATGCTTGTTGACACACCTCTGAATATTTTGAATTATGGGCTGATGAATTTTGTATATTAGTTACTGTTGTAGTATACTGTACATTTTATATTATTTAATGTATATAATTTATTCTATGGATTTTACCGTTAGGCTGTTTTCTCGGGTTTTCTGTTTTGAGTAGTTCTAATGCTACGTTCAAAATCTTTTCTATGAAGTCTGAATAGTAACATAGTCGCTCTAGCATCTTCAACTGACGAATGAGCAGCGCCTTGAATGTCTATTTTTAAGAAATGCAGTGACAATTTTTTCAAACTCGGTGTTTTGCCCATTGAAATACTTCGGAATGGCTTATATTGAGACGTGTCTCTTATTTTTGATTTCGGATGTGATAAAAACAATGCATCTAAGTCATGATGAATTGCATGCCCAACCAATATCCTACCTTCTAAAAGTTTGGAAGTTTCATTTTGGGCTTCTTGGAAACTAATAGCTTCATTCATGTGTTTCGGGGTTACACCACTAACCCATGTTCTCCAGTCTGTAACTTTTTCTCTTGGTTTTACAAATTTATCAAGTATTGTGTGACCATAGAAGTTCACTATTGAAACTCTTGCTAGTGCTGATTCTGTTCCTTCTGGTCCTACCCCTACAAATTCACAGTCCATGGCTAAGTATTTGCCTGGTTCTTTTTTTCTGCTATCGTTACCTTGAGGCACCAATGTTATTGCTACTGTTTGTAACGGTATATCGCTTATTTCTATTTCATTCTCTTTTGTCCATAATGCTAATTCTATTGGAGAAAGCTTTGATTTTGGTACCGTGGGTGTTATGCTGAGTGACTTCTCAACTTCTGCTTTTTTTATTTTGTTCTTTCCAGTTCTTTCTTTAGTCGATTTTTTTGTAACCTTAGATCCTTGGTTGATCTTGGAGCTTAATTTCTTCCAATTCAGAGATAAAGTGGCACTCATAGTTACTTTATTCGAACGTAGCCGAATTCCCTATTATCGAAATTATCTAAATTTCTATGCGATGAGATAAAAATGATTCGCATAGAAAATTGCAAAATACGATCTACGATATTAGCTAAGTGCAGCATTTATTATATACTGAGTCAAATTTAAGTGGAATTCAAATTTGACATATTATACACCTGCAAAACCCATTTAATTTTCTTGATAATTTCCTCACATTCTTCAGCATTTGCAGCTTCCAAATCATATTTCTTTTTGATTGACGAATCTTTGGCATTCGTTGAACCGTCTACATGCTTCTTTATGACAATTTTAAAATGGTTTGGATTCTTACTGCTTTTGTACTGTTTTAATTTGGTGATTTGAGTAATATGGAACGAACTCGTCTTCATCATCAGACTGTTATAATAATTTGAATAATTATAATGATGCAAATAATGGTGATGATGATGAGATTGGCTATGATTCTGTTGATTAGATAAAAATGGGTTCTCGCTTGGATTCTTTTTCCAAACCATGACATCTGATGGCGTTAAGTGAATGTAATCACCATCTATAATTAATGTTTTCTCAATTCTGTTTAAGATGGTAGGCTTTTTTCTCCACACTTTCCAAGTAAAATAGATAGTATTGATATTGGTGGGAAGTTGCGGATTCTTACCTCTGATAATGTCATCCAAGTATTTGTTTGAATTAATAGTGCGCTTAATACTTTCGGTTGTGTTTCTGCGAGGATCATCGTGAGTATGGCTCGGGGTACTCAGCTTTCCTTCGTTTGCAATATTTAACGACTGGAATTTATCCTCCATTTGTTTAGCTGGTGGAGTAATTAAAGGTAGAGTATTAGTAGATTCTGAAGGGGTTATAGCCATATTTGCCAATGAATGATTATTAACAGAATCTTGAATAATCTTGGATTGCATAGTATCGGAGGGAACTAATTCAAGTGTATTGCTCTGTAGCTCAAGTACTGGGTCTGTGTTTCTCAATATTCTTTTAGACTCGACAACTGCAGGCTCTATATCTGTACCAAGATTACCTTGCAAAAAAGTATTTTCTGGCTGTAAATGCTTATGAGTGATAGGATTATTTTCAGGTGCATCACGTAATAAAATCTCTCTCATTTTATACCTTGAAGGATCAAGTCCATTTTCTTTACAAAATTTATCTAATACTTGGCCCATCAGTGCATTTGTTGAAATAAAAACTAATGAATAATCAGAAGCTGATAGTGCGTCATTAAAATTTTGTAAGATTTTCAATTCAATTGTCTCGTCTTTCCCATTAACTATCAATGACTTACGATTATTGCTAGTATTTGAGTTCATTTGCTTTTTCTCATATGCCAATAAATTTTGCTTGAATTCCATTGGTAATGGAGCTTGTTTTTCGTTCTTAGCTATTTCTGTTTCGTCGAGAATCTTACACAACGCAATATCTCGTGGGTTATTATACGATGATAAGAGTCTTGTCCTATCCAAGATACCAAACGACCCATAATTTTCACCATCTTCGTCAACTAACTCAAGTCTCCATTTATTTGGGTTCATTAATGACGAATCATCTTCATCATTGAACTCAGACATACTAGATAGTTTAAATAATATGTATCCAATACAATCTGAAACGGCGACGTTATCATTAATACCAAGGTCAGTAATTACTGGGCTCGTATTTGGAGGTAAGTATATGTTGAGGCTGGCCTTATAAATTGAGTCAATATATGACGACACGAATGTATAATAATTTAAAGGATTTATGTTAGATGATTTATGCCGTGATTGGATGAGCATGCTTAACTTGGAATTCTTTGGCTGATTTGCATGCTCTTTTTGCTTAGAAACATCAACTTTTCCAAATGTAAATGAGTTTTTCCTACTGACAGCAAGTCTATTTGAATTATATAGCATGTTGGAATTAGGAAGTGTTTTTAAGTTTGTCATGCTATTAATTTGTTCGCTATTGGGGTCTGAATTAATCAAAGTTTGTGAAGCAGTTCGTTTTATATTCCCCGTAGTTCTTGAAAAACTTTGGCTTTCGAATGAATTGAGTCTACTCTTCTTCTTTTTTAATTTCTTGGAATTGCTTGGAAAGCTAGGTAATGTGTCAGTTTGGGTTCCAAAAGAATAACTATTATACGCATTATCGTTATACGAATCGAGTAGCATAGAAGAGTCAAGTATAGAGTCTGTTTCAATGTCTGTAAATGCAGAGTCTGTGGATGACACATCAGCTTCCTCGTCTTCGTCTTCATCCTCATCCTCGTCCTCCTCCTCGGTAAAATTGGAATCCTCTTCAACATAAATATCGTCATTTTCATCTTCATCTTTCACAATAGTATCTATTGTATTATTGTGCTTGCTTGACGTATCATCTTGATCACTGTAACCAAAATCTGTTGTCGAAGTTTTCAATACGTCTCCCGTTGCTGTTACAGGTACTTCGAAGTCGCTGTCAATAGTTATAGCATCACTGGTTTCCTTGTCATATATAGGTATTCTATCTCCTGCACTATCTTCACTGTCATCTTCATTGGCTTTTTCTTCTTCGATCAATTCAAGGTTCCTTTCTGAGGCAGCAAAGGGAGGTGCTCTCAAAGCGTCGTCGCTATCACTGTCACTATCTGAATCATAGCCATTACTTTTATTCGAATGGAAGAACTTCACAATATTCGGCTTACTTTTCCTATTTCGCCCCTTGATAGTCTTTGTATAAGAAAGTCCCAGCAATTCTCCATTAGACTCAAGATCAGTTCTGCCATTCGTCGTATTGCCTGGACTTTGGGGTCTATCTGGCAAGTCTGGCGCCTCTTTTTCTTCAATTAACTCTGAATTCATCCGGTCATCCCTTTTATGTGCATTTTTCATCTCTCGCTTGTTCTGCTTCCTATCTATTTTCTTCCTTTTCTTTATCGTTCTCTTCCGTACTTCATTTCCAGCATCCTGAAATGTTTGTATGTGATGGTTAGCATTGAAAGTAATCGGAGGCGATTCCGGCATTTCGAGTTGTGTGTATATATTTTGCTGTTCTTCTGTCTCATTTCCTCCAACCACCAACGGTTTAATTATTCGTCTAGCATATTCATCATTATCTGTTAGTGTGAGATAAGACACTCGAAGTTGCGCTATCAAATGTGATGTTTCTAAGGGTAACGCCATGTTTTTATTCTATTGGTACGCCACTATAGTTTCCTATTCAATTATACATATCTTTACCCCTAATATTCTCTGGCTTTTCTACCTAACAATTGCAGTATATTTAAAGGAGTTCTATAGTTAAGTATAGATTCGAAAATATGTGATCACGTGATGCTTGTTTTGTTCCTAATGAAATTTGAAAGCCTTCCCGTTGGCGGAGCATAACTAAGTATTACAAAGAAAGAAGGTTATTGGACTATAGTAACGAATAAGCCATTGATATATCACCCTAGAGAAGGTAAAACTAATATACGCTTATTCTTAACTTTTCAAAATATTGCAATTGTATAAGGATTATGTATTATTAAGAGTTGTTGTCAGTATCGGTATCCCTTATATAATTGCAGCATATTAAACAAAAGCCGCTAAAGAAAAGAAACAAGTAGAAAATAATGGCATCCATGAATAATCAAGATAATGGTTCTGAGAGCAGTCTACACGGGTTGAATGCCGAGTTGGACAATATTTACGGCACGTATACCAATAGCAACAATAATGGCAGTGTTGATACTCTTGACTCGAATTCGGATCAAGCACCGGGACGAAGTCAGAGGGTGTTTCGGACAACTAGACTTATTCCGAATCATACACGGCTACCAGAAGTACATATTTCGTCGAGATTATCGTCGCTTAACTTGCTGGAGGATAGAGACATAACGCACAGTGCCCCACAATCGCCCAATTCATCGTCGTCATTTGATTTCAATCCAAGAGACCATCATGCTGTAACTAATTCATCACTCAATGTATTATTGGATACACCTACAACCGAGGCAGAATTCAGAGACCTCGTTGATTCTACACCAACCCCCACAACTGAGGCTTTGGAGGAACTTCAGGCTCCGGATTCTAATATTGAGCCATCGGTGGTACAGGGAGACCATGAAAACTGGGATGATAAAGGTGCAGCTGTAAGAAAAGTAGAGGACAAAAAAGCAAAATTTAGACTCATCAAAAGAGGTGTGCAAGATTTTGAATTTGGTAAGTCGTTGGGAGAAGGTTCATACTCGACTGTGGTATTAGCCACAGATAAGCACACCTCACAGAAATACGCTGTAAAAATATTAGACAAAAGACATATTATAAAAGAAAAGAAAGTAAAATACGTTAATATAGAAAAGCACGCATTGAATCGTTTAAGTAACAGGGTTGGTATCATTTCGTTGTATTTTACATTCCAAGATAAAGCGTCGCTTTATTTTGTTCTTGACTATGCATCCAATGGAGAACTATTGACTTTGATTAAAAAGTATGGCACTCTTAATGAAGATTGTGTTCGACACTTCAGTGCTCAAATTTTGGATGCCATCAAGTATATGCATGATAATGGTGTTATCCATAGAGATATCAAGCCAGAGAACATATTGCTCGATGATAAATTGAGAATTCAAATTACTGACTTTGGTACTGCAAGATTATTAGAAAAGAAGAACGACGAAAGTGAAGACTATCCGGTTGACGTTAGAGCAAAATCGTTTGTAGGTACAGCAGAATACGTTTCACCAGAATTATTGGAAAGTAAATATTGTGGTAAGCCTGGTGATATTTGGGCGTTCGGTTGTATAGTCTACCAAATGATTGCAGGTAAACCCCCTTTCAAAGCAACAAATGAATATCTCACATTTCAGAAGATTACTAAGTTGCAATATGCGTTCAGCGCTGGTTTCCCTATGGTTGTAAGGGATTTAATTAAGAAAATATTGGTTTTACAACCATCCAAACGTATCACCATTCCACAGATTCAAAAGCATTTCTTTTTCCAATCCGTTCAATGGAATAATCCGGATTTTATTTGGAACTCTTCACCTCCTGAATTAGGTCCTTATAAAATGAATGCTAAGTCTATGATGAAAGTACCAGAACTAACGGAATCGTCACAAGGATCTAGAAATAATAGGAAGATGGCTAATGGAGGATCTACGAATAGAGCTAATGGAAAACCTGTCAATGCAGCGTCTGTAGCAGCGTTTGTTTTGAACAAGAAAGAGAATTCGTCAGATACCGATCTTGCCGGTATGGAAACAAATAAAGATGATGGTGTAGATGAGAGTGTTCTGGTAACCAAAGTTGAATCTAGGTCTAGTAGCAGTGCTGGTGGTAGCTCAAGGACCCCTTCTGCGGCGGACTATATTCCAGGAACTAATATTTTGAGGCCAACTTTTAATACACGAGCTTCATTTTCTAGAGCTCCTGCCAGTAAAAAGAAACAACCTAGGAAGAAATCGAAACCCGAAATTATGCAACCAACCCCAATAAGTTCATTAGAAGTAGCATGGGCAAGTTATTTGATACACCCAGATGAGAGAATAATGAAAATAGGACCTGTAATATTTTCAAAACAATTAACTGAAAGTTTCGAAAGGAAGTACAAAGGCATCTTGCATAACGCACCCTTGGACTATGCGACAAAGTTACAAGCAACGAGGTCTAGAAGTAGCTCAAGCTTCTTATCCCAGGTTGTGCATGGACCCAGTAAGGGTTTAAGGGAATCAGTCACGAGTCTCGAAGGAGATACCGTCGACGAGGATGAGTCAAAAGCTATCACTACTTACAGGGATATTGAAGAGTTAGCCAACCCTACGCTTCCAAGGACATCAACAGATAGTAGTAATACTCCAACTAATAGTGCATCTGGTAAACAAAGTAAATCGTCCAAGCTTAAAAAGTTTCTATTACCAGGTAACAAAAGTAATGATGGCACAGATTCTAGTTCTGGAAATGGATCGAATACAGCTAGACAAAGTTTAGATAAGGGTATAACTTGCACCATGATGGTTACTACGCATGGAAGAGTATTAATCTTTTACCGAAACGATATAGAATCTGAGTACGTGTTGATCAATGAAATTAAGTTGAACCACCCATTCATCCAGTTCAAAGAAGTTGTGTCGACGTCTACAACAAAATTTCAAAAGGGGGTTCCTACTACTGGAATTTTTGGCATTGAATCATCGATTACCACATTTGTGTTCGAGATAGAGAAGTTCGATATCAACCAATGGACCGAATCATTAGCAAGATCCAAGCTTAACCAATTTGAAAGGGAGAATGCAGGGGTTGATAAAGAGCCTGCTAAAACTGAGCCTGTGAAACCTAAACCAAAGTCGCCGCCAAGCAGATCGTCTCCAAAGCTTGTAGAATCGCCAGTATTCACTAAAGCCACCAAAAAAGCTCCATCACCTCCTGAAAAGCAATCTGCTATAGAACGTGCTGTCAGTCCTGCGTCTACCGAGAGCAAGACCCGACACAAGGAAAATATGCTTGCCCATAGGCTCAAAGGTAAATCGGTGAAACGTAAGCCACCGCCTCCCATCAACACACATCATAACTCAATCAACCATTCTACTGGGCTCGCGTCCCCATCAGAAGCATATCTGGATGGCGGTTTGTTACATGCAGCCCAGCTTGCGGTGTCCAATAATGCCTCCCACAAACCGACCGAATCCAAACGCACGAGTTTCACCAAAGAAACGCAGAACAAGTACGTAATCCTTCCTTCGAGTCCCATTCAGTCGTCTGCCAATTCCGCCGGAAAGAACATCACGTCCATGAACTCGAAGTTTTTGGCCCGAAGCCAAAGAAAGAAGTAATTATATCTTGTATTCCTATATATTCGCAAATCTATACCGTTAGTTATTTTCCCTACCATGTAGCTCTTACGTCATTAGAAACTAATCATAGCCATTCACATTCCCAGAACTGTTAGAACTGTCGGCTCTCCCTTTTCGATCGTAACTTCTATTCTAGGTAATCCACATCACACATCCATCTATCTCCATCTCTATCCCTACCCTCTATCATTATGTATGGCCCAATGCTGCGTTTGATATCGCATTACCAATCGGGAAATAGCAGTCACAACCTGTCACATGATTTAATGTACGTCTAGGCTCACCGTCGTATCGTCTCATTGGTGGCACACGACATTTATCGGTTACCCGGTGTCGCAATTACCCGATTTGTTTTGTGTCATAAACCACAATAAATTTTTCAAAAGTCACTGAGCCAGTCTGGTGATGCTCTGGAAGACCTCGTCAACCACTTAGTGAATAAAAATTGATAAAATTTTTTATTACTGAAATTGAATAGGTAGATATATTGCATATTTAACATCACAAAATGGCTAAATTCATTAAATCAGGTAAAGTTGGTATGTATCAAGACTATAGATTTAATTCAAACCACCTAGATGGAAACTCGGAGCAGAATTCAGGATATGGGGTGAAGTTTTAAGAAGGTGGAAAAAAGACAGTAGGAAACTCCAAAATTGAAATAGATGAGGTGATAGCTACAGTGGGATAAGTCAGAACAACATAAGAATCAAGTGTTTGATTGAGTGCAAACGTTAAGAGGGTTAAGTTGAAGTGAAAAATGGACATGAAAAATAAAGTGAAAAATTTGAAGAGATCGAAAACGAAAGAATACAATGCTCAGAGTACCGTCGCAAGGTGGGAGAACAACAGAATACGGAATACTAACATATATATAGCTATTGTCGTTCGTGGTCGTTTCGCTGGTAAGAAAGTCGTCATTGTCAAGCCACATGACGAAGGTACCAAAGCACACCCATTCCCACACGCCATTGTTGTTGGTATTGAAAGATACCCATTAAAGGTTACCAAGAACTTAGGTGCCAAGAAGACTGCTAAGAGAACTAAGGTCAAGCCATTCGTCAAATTAGTCAACTACAACCACTTAATGCCAACAAGATACTCTTTAGATGTTGAATCTTTCAAGTCTGTTGTTTCATCTGAAACCTTAGAAGAACCAACTCAAAGAGAAGAAGCTAAGAAAGTTGTCAAGAAGGCCTTAGAAGAAAAGCACCAAGCTGGTAAAAACAAATGGTTCTTCACTAAACTTAACTTTTAAAGAATTTTATATCTACATATATAGGATTTAAAAGAGGGTTTAAAATTTGTTTATATTAGTTTTTCTGTTGTTTTTTCTTGCATGGGTTTAAAAATAAACAATAATTTTACGATTTAAAATAGTTTACTTTAAACGTGTGTAGTCTTGATGTATATTTACTTGATGTATTAATATAGTTGTTAGTTACATTTAAAAAAATTTCAACTGTTTAAACTGCAATTCATTCTTTGCAATAGTAACCTGTAAGTCTCGCAAAAAATTATTCCAAAGAGTCATAAAATCACCCATCATGATGATCTAATTTCTCTGGCAATTGGCAATTATATTACAGAAGAAAGAAGATGTCAGTACCTAAACTTGAAGAGGAGGTTAATAATTTAAACCTCAATACTGCTGATCAAAAAATTACTCCATGGGAAGTAGAAGGTGCTGTTGTTGATGGAAAGGCCCAAGATATAGACTATGAAAAATTGATTAAGCAATTCGGTACTAGACCTATAACTCCAGAAACTTTACAAAGGTTTAAAGAAGTTACTGGCCATGAACCACACCCATTTTTAAAGAGAGGTGTGTTCTTCTCCGAAAGAGATCTTACTAAGATCTTGGGGTTGTACGAACATGGTGAATCTTTCTTTTTATATACGGGAAGAGGACCTTCGTCAGATTCGATGCATTTAGGTCATATGGTGCCATTTATATTTACCAAGTGGTTGCAGGATGTTTTTGATGTGCCATTAGTTATCGAGTTGACTGATGACGAAAAGTTCCTTTTCAAGCCAAAATTGACGATTGAGGATGTCAAAGGCTTCTCCAAGGACAATGCAAAAGATATCATTGCAGTTGGATTCAAACCAGAAAACACTTTTATATTCTCTGATTTGGATTACATGAATAGTGCCTTCTATGAAAATGTTGTTAGAACATCTAGACAAATTACTACATCGACTGCTAAGGCAGTCTTTGGATTTCAAGATTCCGATTGTATTGGAAAGATTCATTTCGCCAGTATTCAAATTGCAACAGCTTTCCCATCGTCCTTCCCAGATGTGTTGGATTTACCTCCAAAAACCCCATGTTTGATCCCATGTGCTATTGATCAAGATCCATACTTCAGAGTTTGTCGTGATGTTGCTGATAAATTAAAATTCTCGAAGCCATCATTGATTCATGCTAAGTTCTTCCCAGCTTTACAGGGTTCTTCTACCAAAATGTCTGCTTCTGATACCACAACTGCCATTTTCATGGGTGATACTCAAAAGCAAATCCAGAAAAAAATTAATAAGTATGCATTTTCAGGTGGTAAAACATCCGTTGAAGAACATAGACAACACGGTGGTGACCCAGATATTGATGTGGCTTATCAATACTTATCTTTCTTCTGTGATGATGACGATAAGTTAGAGAAGTTGGCCAAAGACTACAGATCTGGTGATCTTTTGTCGGGTGAAATGAAGAAGGAATCTATCGACGTTATCCAAAAATTCGTAGGAGAATACCAAGAAAGAAGAAGTAAGATTACCCCCGAAATTGTGGATTCATTCATGAAGCCGCATAAATTAGTATATGGACAAAAGGAAAGATTAGTCCCAGCTATCCCAAGAAAGTAGATTTTCCCATACAACTATATAATGCAAAACCTCGTAAATTTTTATTAGTGTCATATACTCTATACTTGTAGACATCCTATTTTAATAATTGTTTCACGTTATCTAAAACAAACATCAATTTGTTAAAGTCATTCTCGTCAGTTTCATTACCCTTGCCAAACCATCGGGATCCAATTGATAAAATCAAGTTCTTTGGCTCTGAAGATACGAGCACGAGTTTCCCAATTTGAGATGCAACCACTTGTATTTTTAGGTTATTATGATCTCCAATTAGTATCACAGGCTCTAACCCCCCATCTTCACTATTACTTATATTAGAATAAGCATTGATAGACGACTTTGAAGATACTGGAATATCGAAAGTTGTGTCCATGACACCGTTGATTTGAACGTTCAATATTATTTTATCATTAAGTTCAATCTTATGAAATATGAATTCAGTTTCATCATCCCCAGGATACTTCGCAGTTATCGACTTACTAAACTCAGGTGTAGATTCCATTGCAAATTAGATTCCTATGTAAATGCTTAGCTATAGCTCTAAAACCACAATATGATTTTCATGTAGTTGTTTGTCGTGTACATACCACATACTTGATGGCTATCAAATTACATTAATCTGTATAATTAATGTAGGTTAGAAGTAGCTAAGACGAAGCAATTCATCTAATTAGTAGTCACCTTCTTAAACGGCACAAGAATGAGTTCAAACATAACTTTTTTGAAAACTTTGTGTTTTTGACTCGTACAAAGTGTACAAGACGGTATAGACTTTGTTACCAGAAAGAAAGCATTTACCATCAACTATTCACTACTAACTCCTTATTATAGTATCTGTAAGTCCGTTTATCCTCTATTATACGATATCTTATATAGAACTTGATTTGCTTTCATGTTGAATGGTCAAGTTTCGCTACATTTTTGCTGGTTGCGAAAATTTTGTAAAAATCTCTAATAATTGTAAAAAGCTTATGCAATAAAGGATTCTACTATTAATTGTCCAAAAACGTCTACAATAACCTCTACAAGACTCAACACACATATTGTACCAAAGCACGTTGCGAACGAGAGCATCTCCATTACTATATGTTAATAACAAGAACAAAAGTATCCCTAACCCCTTAGAGTTAAAACATTCTGCAGAACCGAGATCTATGGAACGCAAACCATACTCAACCGAGCAAAATAGAGTTATGACGTAGAATGGCTTCACCAATATCCGAAAGTATGTTTCGACCCATCATTTGAAATACCGACCATAATTTGAATCCTATTCTCAGAAGGCTTTGATTCATGTGATTCAGTGATTAACCGATATTTGTGTTTCATTGCACCAAAAACCATCTCTCATTGGTTTTCACCATCCTCTTGTACGGTATCGTCCGACAATGCACTATTATAACGGTACAATTCCTGGGCTGGTAACAAACTACAATATCACGTGAAACTTACAATAACAATTTCGATAATAGTCCGTTAAACGGAGATGATACAACGTATAAAATTAGATACGAAATTTTAGCTTATTGTTATCACTATGTCAATGTCAAAGGCTATGTCTGTCTAATAATGCAAGGTGGATTGACAGGTAAGTTCATTAGCTAAATACTTCTAAATATTAGTAAAATTTATTCCGACTGCGGGATGAAAAATAAGTAAGCAGAAATATGAATCAGCGTGATTCAGAATACTTAATTTATATAAGTGCCTATATATTGCATGATAAGGATATAAAATACAGATATTGTATAAACCCCATCGCTCAGATTAGGAAGATATTAAGTATTAAAGAATATGTCAGCTAAATTTGTTTCAATTCCAGAAGCTATTGAAGCTTTCAAGAATGGAGAATACTTGATCGTTATGGATGACGAAAGCCGTGAAAACGAAGGAGACTTGATTATGTCTGCGGAATTGATGACACAAGAGAAAATGGCATTTTTGGTTCGTTATTCTTCTGGATATGTTTGTGTTCCATTATCCACTGAAAGAGCAGATGCATTAAACTTACACCCAATGTTGGCAAATGAAACCGATAGACATGGTACTGCTTACACGGTTACCTGTGATTACGCCGATGGTACAACCACAGGTATATCTGCACATGATAGAGCTTTGACTGCCACCAAATTGGCGGACCCAAGCTCAAAGCCGGTAGATTTCATAAGACCAGGACATGTTTTACCATTAAGAGCGGTTCCTGGCTTGTTGAAGAAGAGAAGAGGTCACACAGAAGCAGGTGTTCAACTATGTGAGTTGGCAGGATTACAACCAGCTGCTGTTATTTGTGAAATGGTGAGGGATGAAGATGGTTTGATGATGAGATTAGATGATTGCGCTAAATTCTCGAAGACGCATAATATTAAAATGATTACTATTGAGCAACTTGTTGAACACATCTCGCAATAAGTTAACTCTAATAAAATGTTCTATTATTGTATGTAAAGATATATATATATATATATAGGTTTGACTATTGCAAAATCAATTGTGCCTTTCTTTTACCAGTAATTTCATCCTTGATTGATTTGATGTTGACTGTAACTTTATCAAAAACCGCTACACATCTCTTTTTACCAGAGAAGTCAGCAAATGTTAATTCAAACTTATCTTCATTATACTCGGCAGAATCTGCATCACCAAGCATATCCAATTTGATTAAACCTTCTACCCCGAATTTTGGAACCAAAACAACAATACCGTTATTAAAACATTTGATGACGTAACCTTCTTGAGTAGATTCGTTATTTCTCATAACTTGGCCCACATAATACTCAATACTTGCTCTTCCTGCAAACTGGGCGTTTCTATGACGTTTGTTGATATTTTTAACTATAAGTTCCATCTTGTTTTTATCTCTATGACTTAAATCCAAATTTTCATAAGCGATTGCACCTGCTAATTGTCTATGAGCGACCACATCACAGTATCTTCTGATTGGGGATGTGAAATGAGTATATATATCAACCGCCAAACCATAATGCCTAAATTCTGGGTATCCATATGAACCAGATGGGAAATATTCTGCAGCCATCATACATCTAGTTGACAAAATACGCAATAAAGTATTGAAGTATGGATCTTTCGGATCAACGCAACGATCCAAGGAGTCGGCCAAAGACTTAGAAGATTCTAATGAAATCGACATGCCACTTTTACGAACTCGTAACATTTCATTTAAAGTCTCAAAATTGGTAGCCGGTGGTGGAGCATGTCTTCTCAACATGGCTGTTTGAGGATATGCATCAAATATCTTTCTTGCAACAGATATATTTGCAAACAACATAAACTCTTCGACTAATGAGTTAGTCTCGAGCAATTTCTTAATTTCAACTTCGCCAGGGTCAGAAGTTTCACTATCCATATGGACTTTAACTTCGGGTGAAGCCAAATTCAATGCACCTGCGTCTAATCTTTTTTGCTTCAATTTTTTAGACAACTTCAATAAAATTCTCATAGATTTCGTTAAATCGTCATTTTGAGACTTGTCATCGATTCTTAATTGTGCTTGCTCATATGAAAATGCCTCTCTTGATTTTATTATAGATTTCATATAATTCACGTTTACAATATTTGCGTCTTCATCTAATTCCCAAATGACCGAGAAGGCATACCTATCAACGTATGGTTTTAAAGAACATAAATTTGTACCTAACAACATTGGCAACATATCAATTCTCTTATCTACCAAATAAACTGATGTACCTCTTGCGGCACCTTCGTTGTCCAAAGCAGTATTTGCACGAACAAAATGAGTAACATCTGCAATATGAACACCAACTTCGTAATTTCCATTAGGCAATTGTTGAGCATGTAAAGCATCATCAATATCAACACAATTTGGTGGATCAATAGAACAAACCAACTTATCTCTTAAATCTTTTCTTTTGGCTAGTTGCTCATCACCATTGTCGAGATTTTGTGGAACTGTCCAATTGGCTCCTTCCTTTGGTAAACAATCCAACACATTCTTAGAAAATGGTCTATACTCAACATCATGTTCTAATAACAAAGCCTCAGTTTCTGCTTCTGCACTTTCAATTTCACCTAAACATCTTACGAAATGACCTTGTGGGTATTTCGAAGTCGATGGCCATGAGTCAACTGCAATAACAATCCTCTGTCCCAATAATTCTTTAGCTTTCCTTGTACGGATCCTAATTTTAGGTAAAACTTTATCCATCAATATGACAAAACAATTCTTCGAAACATTTCCAGTATCATGATCGTTAGAGACAGATGATGGAGCAATCTGACCAACATAATATCTCCAGGATCTTCTCATTATACCTACCACCTTTGCGGTTGGTTGAAGCCTTTTCGATTTGTCATCTTCATTTGATACCGAAGTCACTTTCATTGCTTCTTGTGCCAATAATTGACGTTCCTTGTCTGGAATTATACCTGTATTTTCAACATCGTTTTCATCATCTTCATCATCAGCATTATCATTAACTCCAATGTTGGATTCTTCAATAATTGTTGTAGATGGTTCTCTCCATTTATCCTTTGGCAATAATTCGACAATAACAGAATCTCCATTAAAAGCTCTATTCAAGTGTTTTGTTCCAAGAATTAATAACGGTTTCTTAAAAGCTGGGACTTGAACACTTCCTTCCAAGAAATTATAAGTGGAGATGTTAAGCATACCTTGATACAAAGTACCATTCTTAACACCACCCATTATTCTTGATGTTGAATAATATTCAGGGAATGAAGTTTCATTTATAGTCTCAGCCCCAGCAAATGATTCCTGTTCATTTGGAACTAAATCACGTAAGTCATCTGCATTAGGCAATGCATCAATATATTCAGCCAATCCTCTCGCGTCAATACCCTCTTTCTTAGCTTTATCACGGTTATCTCTATCGTTACATATCAAAACAATACTGATTGGAATATTCGAGTTATCTTTATTAAGATGCTCCTTGAACCATGAGCTGAACTTACGAATTGCTCTATCATTACGATCATTTATAGACTCATTTTTTTCACGATTCACATACGTAGATTCACAGAATTCATTATGAAAAACCACAAATCTCTTCTCCTCAGATTTAACTAATGACCGTATTCTCTGGTAGATAGGAAATGACCTATTTTTGACTTCGTCCAAAACTGTTTGTGGGATTACCACATCAAAAAAACACTCGTTATTCTCTAACAAATCGATCGCATGCAATATAATATTGGTATCTAAGACGATATAGTGACGTTGTCCCTTACCAAGTTTCTGTGGCTCCTCCGATAAGATGAATTGCGGCAACTGTCCATGTGAATCTGGTTTCAAATCAAGCTGGCATTTGTTACATAGCTTAGAATAGCACGGAATATCGTTTCTCAAGTAATGTTCTCTAACAATCTTTGTAGCTCCACCATTTCTTGATCGAACAAACACTTTAGATGTTACAGTAAGCCCACTAGAAAGCCTTTTTCTATCTTGGATCATTATTGGACTTTTTTTATACTATACTAAACAATATAAAGAATATTTGGTTTCTTAACCTCATCTAGAGGAAATTTTCTAACTATGTGTGGTCACATGAGAAAGGTTTGGAATATGAAAGTAGTATGTTTGGATGCACTGAAACTAACTTCAACAATTTGGGC